CTTCTACCCTCCCCCCTCTCTTCTTCCCTAACTCTCTCCCTTTCCCTCCCTCCGTCTTTTAACTGCTTTGAGACTTTATTTTGTTTAAAATAATTTTGTCCCTCTTGGTATCACTAGACTAACTGAACAGATGACTGAGTTGGGGGTTAAAAGCCCAATGGAAGGTCTTTGGCTGGCTTCACTCTGTTGAAGCCATTGCATGTTTAAGACTTAAACAATGTTGAACCTGAGACATAGATTCTCAGGAAGGAGTAAGGTCCTCATGGTCTTGGTCCTGCCCACCTCATGGACCTGTGTTCTCACAGCACAGCGGTAACACTTTGAGAGCTACTCACACGTGTCTACAGTGTGGTTATTAGTGAGCAGAACCCTGCAGCTAGTTCTTGTTCCACTCTCCTTATGTCCTGTGTCCTTTTCAGTATGAAACCTTCATGGCTCCGCTGCTGTGTGGTCACTCCTCTCATGTTGTTTTCATCTCTTCCCAGTTCTCATCCTGATCACACCCAGCTAGCTTTAGTGAGAGAGTCACCTATGCCAGCCAGGTGCCTCTCTACAGCAATCCAAGTAGGTCTTCTACAGTGGGAGGACTGAGGCACAGAGGACGAATTTAGTAGGTCTCAGGGACATGGCTGGGAAACTGGGCAGTTAGTGCATGCTTTGCGTACCGGAGAGGTGTTGTGGATGCTGACACAGGGTCAGTATTCGGAGGGAGCAATGGTCCTTTCTGTCCTGTGTCCTCACACAGAGTTGCTCTGAGAGGCAATGTGAATGGCTTCGAAGGCGCTTTGTAAGTAAAAAGGTCAGAGGTTATTGTTATAATTAAATATATTTTTTAATGACAATGAAAATAGGAACACATAGAATATAGCTAAAGCATCATCTATGAAAATCCAAGCCATCTGTTCTTTGGCAGTTTTGTAAATACTCTGTGCAAGGCACAGACCTCAAGATGTGGTTTTTGATGACCCTGCTAAACTTGCAGCTCTATGAGCTTTTAGCAACTCTGCCCAACCTCGGTTCTCTCTTTCTTCCCCTCCCCACGTACCTGTGTGTGTGTGTGTGTGTGTGTGTGTGTGCGCACACACGCGCTCCTGCCATGTGAATACTTGCAGAAGCCAGAAGAAGGTGTCAGATTTCCAGGTCTTGAATTGTGGATGGTGATGAACCACCATGTGGGTGCTGAGAACTGAACCCATGTCCTTTGCAAGAGCAACAAGTGTTTTTAAACATTGAGCTATCTCTCCAGCTCCTTATTTTAAATTTTAAAATGGTGGTAAAATACACATAGCGTAGGAGGGCTGGGTGATAGTTCAGTCAGGACCTGAACTGCTGCCTCTGGTGTCCATTCTCTGTTCCTCCTTACTGTGGGACCACCCTTGTCCCTGGTGTCCATCCAATTCTGATGGAATGGAATTGGCTTCATCTTTGTGTGACTTTCTTTTTGTTTGGGATATAATATTTATTTATTTTTAAGATTTATTGCCGGACAGTGGTGGCACACGCCTTTAATCCCAGCACTTGGGAGGCAGAAGCAGGTGGATTTCTGAGTTCGAGGCCAGCCTGGTCTACAGAGTGAGTTCCAGGACAGCCAAGGCTATATAGAGAAACCTTGTCTCAAAAAAACCAAAAAAAAAAAAAAAAGATTTATTTATTTTATATTTGTGAGTACACTGTTGCTCTCTTCAGACACACCAAAGGAGAGCATCAGATCCCATTACAGATGGTTGTCAACCACCATGTGGTTACTGGGAATTGAACTCAGGACCTCCGGAAGAACAGTCAGTGCTCTTAACTGCTGAGCCATCTCTCCAGCCCCAGATTTATGATTTTAAGACATACTGTTTTTTCCCCCATTCTTAGTTCTAGAAATATTCTCCTGGGTTTCCTGGTGTCTCTTTGCACTTTAGTCTTTCCCAGATAGGACACAATTCATCCTTAGTGACCCGAGGGACAGGCCAGTTTCCCTTTCTACCTACATAATCTCTCCTGATGCTGTTCGCAAAGTCCAGGCTCTTGGAACACATCTTCTACTATGTGTCAAGTGTCTAGGTATGCACCTACGTGTGTGCCTCAGATGAATATTTTTTTACATCAACGTTTCCAATGTCTTTCAGTCCTTAGACAGTTTATCTGAGAGTTCATAACTCTTGTAAGATTAACACATCTCCCTTTGGAGCCCCGGGATGCAGAGCCAACCGCAACCTTGAAGTTAGTAGACAGGCTAAACCTCTCATTTGATGCTGGGTAAGGTGACTCTCTTGGCCAATGGGGATTTAAGGAACCTTTGAGAACAGGGGAATTGTCTCAGCAGGCAAAAGGATGAGGCTCGTTTTTCTTACTTCTCCACTAAAACTTAACTCACCGGAATACCGAGCCAAACTTGGTTTAGTTCATAGTGTTTGTGGCTTAGCTCATTCTGGTAGCTCCAGGGGTCACAAGGAACATTTCCCCCCACAAAATACCAAATTCTGTGGAAAGAGCTCCTGTCCAGCTTTTGTGGAAATGTACAAGCCTGAGTAGTCATAGACCTTGTAAATAGGTAGCCTTGGCAGACAATACCAACTTAGATAAGGACAAGCGAGTCATAGGCAGAGTCATAGTGACTTGTCCCCTGAACCTTCACCCAGCTGATACCCGGTTCTGAAGATATCTGTATTCCCCCTGAACACCCAAGCTCCAGTGTCATTCCCTTCCCCACATCCTGCCTTTCTGTGTTTTTAACCCCTGTGTGAATGAATTATGATTTGAGAAAAAATAAATTATAAAAAAAAATAAAATTAAAAAAAAAGAGCTCCTGTCATTCTCCCAAGTCCCAGAACCACCTCTGGATCATATGCAGATATTTGTTTACTTTAAAAATTTAAATATTTTTTAATTTTATTTTTATGGGTGTTTTGCCTGTTTGCATTTATGCAGTATGTGTGTGTGTGTAGTGCCAGTTCGAAAGAAGGCATCTGATACTCTGAAACTGGAACTCCAGATGATTTCAAGCTTCCACGTGGGTTCTGGGAATTGAACCAGGGTCTCTAGAAGAGCCACCAGTTCTCTTAACTATAAAGTCATCTTTCCAGCCCCACCCGCACACATTTAAAAATAATTGTGCATCTAATTCATTGAAGCAGTTTGGGCCCAGCAAGGAGAGGAACTTGAGTTCATCATGTCTACATCTCTGGCCTGTTGCTATGGCACCTGAAAAAAGTCCCATGGGAAATAGGTCAGGAGCCATGAGAGGCAAGTATGCTCATCTACCCAACCAGACAACACTGATAAGTTTCTTTGGACATCAACCTGACACATCTATGGGGGCGTTGAGCTAACCTGTGCAACATGGGGAGAAGGGTTGTGACCTGTTGGTATGAAAGTCTATTTGAACCTCGGCTATCTTCAAACTGTCCTTGCTGATAAAGGAAAGGCATCAGTGATGCATCAGTAACAAGAAGCCATGTATCAGCCATGTCACATATCATCCATCTGATACAATAGCCCCTGAATCATACAGGGAAGCAGAAGTCCGTATGTATAATGTAACATGCAGTAAATTAGGTTCATGGAAAGAACTTATTTAGGTCATAAATGCTGGAGATGGCTTCTCTGTCTCTGATTCATTTCTGAATGCTCGATCCATTTGTAGTTAAAAAAAAAAGTAAATGCACCAAATAGACTTGAGTTGCTAGTGTTTTTGATGACTGGAACCCACCCCATGAAACTGCTAGGCAGAACTTTTATACAGGAGCACATAAAACTCAGAGGGAAGCATGGATGGTGTGTGCAGACCCTTGAACGTGCGTCCACACCCCCTCAAGAGCAACAGCATGCCTACACAAGCTACATGGCTAGACACAAAGGGGAAGAGGAGGTTAGAGCCAAAAGCAGGAGGACCTGTGATTGTGGTTGTCCTGTATCCCGGGTGAGTGGTTGTAACTCCTAGCAGCAGAGCTTTCTTTCTTGTCTCTCACACAGAGAAGGATGGATATCGGAAGATGGCATGAGTAAAGTTACGTGGCAGTGTTGATGAGGAATTTACTTCATCAAAGGCAGAGAGGCCACCGTGGTGAAGGAGGGACACCAGGCTACATGGACTTGGGTGTCCAGTTCCTAAGAGCCTTCAGAGAGCTGCCCCTCCGCCTCCTTCTTTGATGTTCTCAAAGCCACGGATAATCTATGATAATCTGGTGGCCTCTGTGTTTCTATGCTCCGGCTGTTTTAACCCACTCACTAGATTGCTGAAAAATTAATTCTAAATGTATTCCTAGATGCAGTCTTTTTTTCTCATGTGTATATGAGTGTGTGTATAAGCCAGAGGTCAACACTGCATGTGTTCCTGGATCACTCTCTACACTATGTATTGAGGCGGGGGTCCCTTATTCGCACCCATAGCTCACGGTTTGGAACGTCTAGCTAGTCAAGCCTCTAGGAAGCCCCCATCTCTGCCTCCCAACCTCTGGGATTACAGGCAGCTTGTCATGGCTGCTTGGCATTTACATGAATGTTGGGGTTTTGAATTCAGGTCTTCATGCTTGTCTGGTGAGCACTTGACCCTCCAGACCATCTCACCCATCTACACAGAGCTTTCTTGGTCTCAGCTCTTCTGTGGTTTGCCTTAGTCTATAAAGTCCAATACAGACTCTTTTGTTGAAATTTTCAAACTCTATACTCTGTTTTGATTTTCACCTTCTATGCTGGCTCTGTATGGGTCCTCTCTACACTGTAAACCACCTGCTCCTTATCTGAGGGAGTCTTTCGATGCCCACAGCCCAGGAGCTGCAGTTCTGTCTTTAATTCAAGACCAAGTTCAGCGACTTCCTTCTTTTGAAACTGTTTCTGATGGTCCCAGTGGACCTTTTAATTGATAAAATGATATACATTTATCTTATGGTGTGACTCCCCCATTCCCTTCCCTATGTGAAGACAACTTCCCGTATTGTCTTTACATAAAGTTGGAGATTCGTTTGCTGTACTTTCTTTTTGTGATTAATTCACTTAATTACAAACATCTTACTTTGGAAATCGTATGAGTGAGCCCCGACTACCAGAAGTCTTGCAGTTGTTTCTCCTGCATTTGGGAAATAACAGGGTTAGCCTCTCTGGAGTACTGTGGATGAATCTTGCCTAGGGAAAACCACATTTGTGCACCTGGTTCACTCCCTTGCCAGGTGAGTTTTCTTTTGTGTTTTTTATTTTTTAAAAGTAGCACATAATTGTAAAAGTGCAAAGTAGTCAATGGAATGAATGACTGCAAAGAGAACGGCAGGTAGCTAGCACTCCTGTCAGTAAGTAAGCTACGGGTGGTTTTGTATGAGTCTTGCTGGTCGTACCTACTTACGGAATTCTTTCCTCTTTCCACACTTGCTTCAGAGGTGTGGGCTCAGGGAGTTGGTCAGCTACTTCAAGGATAACTGATGAGAAAGTGAGGTCAGTCCAGTGTGAACAGGGAGTCAGGTCATAACCGTCACAGGACAAAGGGTTCAGATGCCATTCTCTGACTAAAGGTTTGTCAGAAGTCCCTCCATGGAGACAAGAATAGTATTTTGCATGTGATGTGTTGCTTACTTTTAAAAGCTAAAGAGACTTGAGAGACTTTTCACCGGGTAAAAGCACTCTCTGTGGAGCCATATGGACCTGAGTTTGGAGCCCAACATTTACATAACAAGTAAGGTCTCAGGAAGGTCTGAACCCCAGCACTGTGGGGGTAGAGACAGAAGGATCCCTGGGGCTGGTTCATTCCAACCTAGTTGAAAAATGTGAGCTCCAGATTCAGGGAGAGACTCTGCCTCAAAGGAAAAGACAGAAACTGATAGAGGAGGGTATCAGTTCCTCTCTTCTCCACAATGCATCCCCTATATATGTATTGTACACATATGCCATACACACATATGCTGCACACACACATATGCCACAGACACACATGCATACACCACATATACACACATTTGCCCCTTCACAGTATATACACATGCACACCATACACAATATGCTACACACATGTTATATGTCACATGTACATATACCACACACCATATATATGTATATATATGTATATATGTATATATACACATCATACACAGATATGTACATATCTCCCCACCCACACATATAAACAGTACATACACACACATATAGGCCACACATACATACATCACATATATATGTTATATACAGATACATGTGCCACAGACATATGTCATACAACATATGCCATACACATATACATACCTCCCACACACATACATACACCACACACACCACACACATATACATATGGCAAGCACACATGTGTCACACACACACACACACACACACACACACACACACACCACATACAATTGCCATACCTCCACAAGATGTTTTGAAATTTTAATTCATGTATATTCATTGTATAAAATGATGGCCATTCATCATGACATTTAAAAACATTTCTATCATGCAGTTTGCTTATCATCATCTCCCATTCTCTTCTTCTGTCCCCTCTCCTGCCTCCCTCTGGTCCCTTCCTTCTCCCAAAGAGGACAAGATGTGATTCAGGAAGCATCTGTGGAGTGATAGATCCCAGTACATCAAAGTTCAAGCCAGGAAAGGCCCCCAGTTTGCAGAGCTGCATCTCAAACCAGAATCTCAGGAAGTTGGAGAGGAATAGTGGCTGTTGACTCAATCCATGCAGGCACCTGGCCCTTGAGATAGCACAGGGGACAAAGCTTGGGGCGCAGCTGAGCTCCCAGTAAAGTCAGACTCCTAAAGCCCAATCTGATTTTCAGGATTTCTTGAAAGACCCCAAGCAGGGTTTAGGAGAGCACCTAGCACACCTAAAGACCAGCGTGCTCGGGAAGCAGGGATGGTAACAGCATCCTGTGCCATCTTGCTGCTGTGACCGGTAACCTTTTCAATATTTACGTTTTATTTTTATCCCCATGATAGAGAGGCATTATTTGTGCACAGGCTGTTAAAAACAGTTCTGAGGGAAACACTCGCAGCTGCTTCCCCCTGTTTTCCATCTGCTGCGTTTACACGTCCTCGTCCTCCTGTGCAGTTAACTGTTGCTTGTCAGGGCTGTTGGGATTTTCTGAGGACAGAGCAAACAAACAAACAAACAAACAAAAATCCTTTAAGGTGGGTTGGAGCGGGATTGCTCTGAAAGACTTTGCCTTGGTTACTCGCTAATAAGTATCAAACTGAGAAGTTGAGCATGGATTAGTGGGAGGTTGTAAGAGTTAACTTATGGGGTGGGACTATGTTTCTGTGAGTATCTGCCTGCACCTTGTCTCCCATTTAATCTTAAATATGTAAATCCTCAGTTTATCTGGAATTACTCCTGATGTGTGAGTGCAGCAGATTATAACATTCCATCACCACCTCTGAGCCTCTTTACCTCTTATTCTTTTCATAGATCAAAAAAAAAAAAAAACAACCAGCCAACTGTGTGCCACAAGAACTTATTATTTTAAGAGACTTGGGCTTAGGCATTGATTTCCTTCATGAGAAGTAGAAAAGTCCCCTTCTGACCCAGAGGTCACATTATAATCCCGCCGCTCTCTAGCTACCCCTGCCCCCCCTCAAGAAGATGAGAATATTTCTGAAAAGGAATTAATTTTTCAGCTAGAGTAATAACAGTTACTCACCAGCTGGTCTGTAGAGAGGGGAGGAGGTGTGGCCTCTGAGTGGATGTGATTTGGGGTCAGGCATTTGTCTGTGGAGACCGGGATCGGAGAATTCGTGAAACCCATTTTATTGGTGACTAGGGATTAAGCCCATCTCTTCTTTCTTTCTTCCCCTGTTTCCCTGTCTTTTGTAAAGGGATTTTATTGCTTCTAAGTATTTCAGATATTTATAACGGGCGCTCTCTTCTCCAGTGTGGATTTAAATTAATAAGTGGATGTGACTCTCAGCTCTATCCATGGAACATGGTCCTCTGGACTTCAGAGTCTGGTGTCTAATGTCCAATGTGATGGCCACCTAGAGCTGTACTCCCAGGCCACACAAACACTTTGTCTCAGTAACATGCCTGCAGAGTCAGCATACTTCTGTGGGGACCCCTAGGCCTCAAGGGGGGGGGGGCTAGAAGCTTCCCAAAGGAATCCTAAAGGGCTCAGCAGGACTGAGGACAGCTAACTTGGATCAGCTCTGGGTTCACCTGGAGTTGTCATCATGTGGAATCACTGTTTCGGAGATGCAGTGTCTGCCTGTCTAGAGCCCACGCTTCAGCTATGCGTAAATTCCGTGGGTGGATCTCTAATCTCTACTGATGTGGCACGCAGAGCATCTTGAATTACCCACACTCATGCTGTAAGGTCTACTTTACTGACAGTGAGAACGGGTTTAGAAAAAAAATCTCAGTTCAGGAAATGCACACACATGGGTGTAGTACATGTCCCATGTGTACCGAAGTAGAAATGGTGTGTGATAAAGTGCTGGTGAGGTTCTGTAAGCCCTATCATACCGAACTCCACCCCAGAAGCTGGGCCTTCCACCCCTGGTGATTCATTTCTTGGTCTTAAATTTGTGAATCCAATTGATTATATTTAAAAACAACTTTATTATTGAAGAGTCGTGGTGTCAAGTAGCCAGTTCCTGTAGGACAGAGACTTCTGGACACAAGACTGTGGATGTCAGACCTGTGCAGTAGCCTGGAGCTCCGTGTTAACACGGTCTACATTTTCTTAGAGAAGGCCATAATAATTCCTAATTCATTATACGATACTTAACTCTTCTTTAATTGACTGTGCCTTAATACCCGAGTTACCTTTCCTTCCCCTCCCCTCCCTTCCCTTGTCTTCCTTTCCCTTCCTTCCCCCTTCTCTCCTATCCACCCCCTTCCTCCCATTCTCTCCTCTCTTTGACTGAAACCTTCCACTTGTTCCTTCAACATTCCATTACTGAGTACACACAAACTCTTGAAATTCTTCATAGTAATTTTAAAACCCTTTAAAACTAAAACTTAAAGACAAAATACCAAGTACCGGGTCTCACTACATTCCACGCACCCCGATGATGCTTCACTCACATCAAAATCCCTTATCTCTTCAGAGTATTTTTAAAAAAGATTCTTTTATGTATGAATACATGGTAGCTGTCTTCAGACACATACCAGAGGAGGGCATCGGATCCCATTACAGATGGATGTGAGCCACCATGTGGGTGCTGGGAATTGAACTCAGGACCTCCAGAAGAACAGTCAGTGCTCTTAGCCACTGAGCCATCTCTCCAGTTCCCTTTTACAGTAGTTTTAATCAAGGGTAACCACTGAACCTGGGAGTGGCCTCTAACCATAAGTTGTCCGTCATGCCCTGGAGTCACTACTGCAGGCACCAAGAGGACTCAGAGACTCAAAATGTTCATGCCCTCGTGGCAGTAAATAGGTGAGTAGCCGGGGATGAGGGGCTTGGGCAAACACCCATGATTTCCTTAGATGGTTAGAAGGACAGTTTGGTGCCATGTGTGTTTGTGATGACATTGGCGTGGTTCACTTGGGCATGCTGACTCTCTCCAGGACCAGGCTTAACACAGGCAGCTTTGTACTAAGTATCCTGGGGTGCACAGCTGGGGAAGGTAATAGTCCCCTGCATGGTGCAGTGATGGGGTCTGCCCAAGGCATGTGATGGGACCATGACAGGAGACTTAGCTCAAGCTGAGGTTGAAGGATAAGGGGGTCACCATGTCAGGAAGAGGAACTAGAGTGTTGTATATGACAGGACTAATATGCAAAAGCCACAGGGTCCAAGGGAGAGAAACTGAGCTTTAAGGAAGTGAAACATGGCCAGAAGTCCCAGGCATTCGGGGTGTGGGATACAAATATCTTGAAGAGGTCAGTAGGAGTTAGAGACTCCTAAGTGACTAAAAGTGACCACAGTGACCATGTTACTGATGGAGGGCCTTGTGCATTTCTATGATTTCACCTCCAGCAATAGCTTTGACTGTTCCCTAGTTACTTCCCCTTTACAAAGGAAGAAAACAGAGACACAGGATGTGTTAGCTGCACTGACACGGGAGTCAGGCTGGAGAGATGGCTCAGTGGAGAATGCAGATGCTGAGCAGGTCTGGAGACTAGTTCAGTTGACAGCCTCCACATCTAAAGCTGGGCATGGCTCTGTGTGTTTCCGAAACCAGAGATGTAGGGGTGGAGGGAGGAGGACCACTGGGGTCTGCTGGTTGCCAGTCTAACTGAACTCC